ATCCTCTGACAGAGACAATAGGTGAAAAATTTTTTAAAGAACATGTACAAGCCCTTGGCATACGTAAAGTGTAATATGAATACCTCATTAATGAAATTATATTTTTTCGTTATCACTTTATGTGTCTGTCTGAAAGCATACAATGTCTAGTATGTCGTACAGGTTAAAAAGGTTGGCTCTCTCACACGGGCAACCGCCTTTGACACTCAGGTGGAGTGAACAAATATGAGACATTTGTGTTCACCAGTAAAGCAGTAAAAATGCTGATATGGTAGGGAAGAAACACAAACCATATGTCGCCTTGACTAAAGTGTAACAAGTCAAGATGAGATCCATGTTGATAAAGTTGGATCGAAGTTTGGAATCCCACTTCCATAATACCTGTAGCCAGATAACAAACTCTTCAACATTGACGTCATAACAATGAGCAGAGTTGAAGAATTTGGGTTTAGATACTGAGTGTGTCTAGACTTAAGTCTGTATGGTGTTAATGATAAGTCCAAAACGACATACGCTCTTATAGTAAAAGAGTAACACCGTAGCATGTGTTTCATACCACATGTGCTAGGAGAACCGCAAAAGGGAAGCAAGTGAAAGATCCCTACTTCATTGCTGTGTGAGTCCCAGGGAGGAATTATCCTCCTATTGGTGTCCTTTGACTTTGACAATATCACGAAGATATGTTTTAGTGACTATGGTCATGATTGATGCGATCTAAGGTAGTATGCTAAGAAAGCGACTGTTCATCTCAAAGTGATATTTGGATGAAAGGAAGATTGACTGTGATATACACACCTATGCTAGTGTCTGTGACATGTCCCTTATGACATTTTGTGGTCGTAAGTGTGGACACTAGACATACGAGAAAGGTAATCTGAGTCAACCATTGACTCGAGAGGGATTAGATTTACCGTGAAAAAGTGTATATAAGTAAATCTGGGACATCTGTGGCATAACATTAAAATTCAAGCTACATGAAGGAGAAGGTGACTTGTGCTGATCCTATAAAAAGGATTTCTAGTACAGGGACACAAGCAAAGACGTCATGCCCACGCTGTCACGGCAAAGTACTAAGTATGAAATTGAGGGAAGGTGAAGAGACTAGACCCGCGACATCTAATCCACCAAGTGTGAGTGGGAGATGTAAGAAAATGGGCCAGTCCACCCTTGGTGGATTGGACCCAGGCCCATTGATATTTGGGGCTCCAGTATGAATAGCAAAAATTATGGGTATCTAACTGTAATTTTTGCCTTTTCATGTATTTTTGCCAACAAGCGGGAACGGTTAGACGAGGAGATAGTTTTCTTTTTTTCAAAAAGGAACATGCAGTTACTAAAACCGTGGGGATCAGTTCAGTGGCATCAGATTTTCATTTCCTTTTTTTTTTCTTCCTCCGTTCTGTGTTTCCAAGAACTCCCTCTGGTGCATTTGCTGTGAATCTTTAGATCCGACTCCGTCACTGTGATCGGACCTCCGCGTGGCAACCTAATTTCATTATAGATTCCAAGTATGCCCGAAATCCTTCAGAATCTAAATATAATTCTTACCGATCTTACAATTTTGTAAATTCTGCAGCAGTTTTGATTCTGTGGCAATTTTTCCTTCTTGAAGAAAGAGGATTCTAGATACAAAATGCCTTATTGGTTATCTTTATTTTGGGACCAGGATTATTTGAATTGTGCAGTAAATGACACTCATTTTTGTTCTGGTTCTTATTCTCATGGCTTTGGGGTAGTGATTTAATTGAAATAGGAGACGAAGAGGAGGGTAGTGAGGCGATGTGCCGACGTTCCTCGTGACGATCGTGTGTCCCTTCGATCTGGCCAAAGCTTCTCTCTTGCTTGTGTTTCCTCTCCTTCTGACTTTTCCATAGCTGTGGGTTGGAAGGGATTGAAGGGAATACTTTATTTTAGTTTCAAAGGAAGGGTTAATTTTTTTGGGGGGGGAGGAAGTAAACTTTTCCTGAGAAAGAATGAATGAAGGGAAGAGAAGGAACAGGGGAAGAAAACGTGTCTCAATTTTTTCACCAACTCAGCAGCCATGTCAGTATAAGTAGGTTAAAAGAACAAAAATTAATGGTCAAACTTAACCTCTGTTAATATACTTACTGTGAAATTAAACTTTCTGGATATTTTAAAGTCAAAAAAACTTTCCGCTGAGTGTTCTCTAGTATAAATTTTCGGGATATTTAAGTAGCTTATTTTAAGTTTATATTAATTCTGGGGCCTGGGCATTGGCAACACGTATGTAATTCTAAGGGAAAAAAATTAAAATCATTGGGGCAATGATCATAAAACGGAACCGAAGCTAACCAAACAATCCAGCTAGTTGAATGGCACGTCGACTGGACTCGATAGTGACCCAGTTTCGACCAAAAAGTGTCTCCATGATTGAGCCAAATTGAAATGGGGTTGAGCCACCATTGAGACCGAATAGAAAACCATATGAGAATAGAAAACCATGAGCTTTCGGTCTGATGAAAAAAAGTCAAAAAACTTAAGATCCTATTAAAAAATTTGACTATCTTAACAACGCCGTTATATTTTCCACTTATTAGAAGCAGTTATTTCATTAAAAATTTCATATATTGTGGTGCTTTTGTGCTGAGAATTAGATTTATTATGGATTTATTTCACAGACACAGATATAGATATTATATGTGCACATAATTATTTTTTATTAAACTTTTATTTAATTATTGTTATTGGTTTGACAGTCATTCGAACTAATTGGATCATGAGAATTGTGAAATGTTGGCCTTTTCGGTTCTGCTTGTGATAGTCTTACAAACCACTGCTTTGGGAGGCATATGTCCCCCTCTTCGCCACTGGCATACACCCAAATTGTTGAAATATTTATTCAACGTTGCCTCTTGATATTGTTGAACGGATGAGGAACGCTTTCTAAAATTTCATTCTAACTCTAAAGTTTGGTTTGCTTTTTGGACCTGACAGGAAGCAGTTATTTCGAAAGCGAGAGCGGCTTCTGTTGAACTGCTAAAGAGGGCAGGCATAAGATTACCACCGAGAATGAACGTCATTTGATTGTCGTTTGGCTCTGAGAATTGTCTGCAATTAGCATTATTTGATGACACTAGCTTTTATCCTTTGCAGATTACATCTCTTATATGAAATACTGTGAAATTTGATCATATTTAAAATTCATTTTGTCTCTTATATTTATCTTTTTTTTTAAGGTAATCTTTGTTATAGTTGCATATGTTAAAAATTTTATCAAATAGTTCTAACTAATAAATATAATTAGTAAGAGTAGTTTAAAAAAAAATAGTACCTATTTATTATAAATAATTAACTTAACTAATCTATTTATTTAATCAAATTAATGAACTAGTTTTTATACTAAAGATTCCAGAGGTAATATTTAAAATTGCACGCAATCCATTTTGAGCAATACCTCCCTGAGCCTACATTGTTTTGTGTATGCTGTTGTGTTCGCCAATATTCATGAAAGTGGGAGAGGCTCAGCTGGTAGATGTCTTGACCTTGTATATTTATTTGGAAAAAAAAAAACTAGATAACATATTCTGTCAAATTATAACAAGTTGGGTTTTCTAAGAAAATGAATGTAAATAATGCATTTGAAATTATGATTTTAATTTTGTAAAAATCTAATTTGATCTAAATTCAAAATTTTTAAGTTTCAATTCTTCTAAATGATAAATGTATTTTTAAGAACTGACAGGTATAAAATTATTATTTTATTTTTTATCTATTAAAATTTTTAATATTTTTATTCCATTATCTATTTTTATTTATTTTTATCTATTAAAAGTTTATTATAATTAATAATCTATAACACACTCTAATGCAATAGCTTTTTGAGATTAGGGGTATTTTGACACTTTCATTAAAAATTATATGGTGTTTGGTGAACTTTTTAATATAAGTTTATAGGTATTTTTTTACCTTAACTTTTTTTGTTTTAATTGGGAGTATTTTGACACCTTCATTAAAAAAAATCATGAGTCCCACTACGTTTCATCATTTTAACGACACTAACATTATTGAAATCTTTTTAAACTTGAATTGGTAGATTTGAGCCAAGAAAAATTCATGACGTTAGGTAAATTTTTGGTATAGTTTCATAAATATTTTTGACCTTTAACCTTCTATACATATATGTGTAGTGTGTGTAAAGGTGGTAGTACGCAAATGTCCATAAAATATGTTTAGCATGTGATGCAATTTTACTTTTTTTTTTTTGGTAAATAACAATTTACTTATTAACCGAAAAAATAGTGTAAATTTTCACAATCCACAACGGATGTATGATGTCCATTAAATAAAGACCATGGGTCTCATACACGGCCTCTACACATAACATATGAAGCCCATAACTCATTTAATGGACATTCGGCTTTCATTAGGGTTTGATTGTTTGAAACCAAAGGGTTTGATTATTTTTACACTATAAATAAAATTGCAATATAATATCAGTAACTTCTCACAAAATATTTTATGGGTATTTTTTCCATAACCATAGTATCTTATTTCATACTTTTACATCAAATGGTGTGAAGTCACAAAGAAAATATCTTACGAACCCACAATCAATATGAAATAAATTCACCCTAAAAAAGCTAAACAAAAATCTAGTGATCCACTTGAACCCTTGAGTATGGAAGAAAAATAACTCAAAATATAGGAAGATACCACAAGGTTGATCAAGCCTTAATTAGTCTGTTAGTTCAATGAAAAACCCTAAACAAAATGAGGGGTTCAAAGTATTTTAAAAAGATACATTCAAATTTGACCTAAAAAGTATTTAATGCAACCTAGAGGCTCAAAATATTACAAACTTAAAAGAAATTGGAAAGACTGAATGCAACTCACTTGAGAACTCAAAGTTCAAATCTACCAACTAATTTCTAATTTTCGCATAAATACATTTAATAGAATATAATTAGCATATTAAGCCCAAAATGTGATTGTTTAGGCCCAAATTAGTCTTCCCATGTATAGCACTTGGTCCAAACCTTTTAATTGGAAGTCTCAAAGCCCAAAATATGTTCAGTAGTACCATTTTCAGTCCAAATGAAGTTAGTGATGTCCTCATTATCTTCAGTCTGTTTTGATGATCCAATTACCACTTTCTTTGCCAATGTATCTTGTACTAGCCCATTTAATGCTTGTTTAATTATTTTAGCTCTTGCTCTTGTGATTGGCTCACTTGGAATTTGCAAAAGATCATTTGAAGTTGAAGAGTCAGCTTGATGGATTACATCATTCCCTCTCTCCTTAAAAGGATTCATCCTCAAATCTTCACCTGCATCGAAAGGGGATAAATTAGCCATATTAAAAGTAGCACTAACATTATATTCACCACGTAGATAAATTTTGTAAACATCATTATTGATTCTTTAAAGAATAAATCAACAACATGTGTGGCATCATCAATTTTATGGCATGGGATAAAATGTACCATTTTAGAGAATCTATTAACAATGACAAATATAGAATCCATTTCTCTTTTTGACCTAGACGAACCCAAAACAAAATCCATATATATATCTACCCAAGGTTTATTAGGCACAAGTAATGGGGTATACAAACCATGTGGTAAGACTCTAGATTTAGCCTTTTTACATGTTATGCATTTAGCATAGATTCTTTCCACATCACTTTTTATCTTAGGCCAAAAGAAATATTCATGTAAAACATCTAAAGTCTTTTTCACGTCAAAATGATCCATTAATCCTCCCCTATATGCTTCCCTCACAAGCAATTTAGGCAAAGAACATTGAGGCACCCACAAGCTATTTTCCTTAAACAAGTACCGATCAACTCTATAAAACTTCTCAAAAGCTTTCTTTTCATAAGGAAGAAATACTTCAGCAAAATCAGCATCATTTCCATACAATTTCTTATTATATTCAAATCTAAGCAATCTAGTATTTAGAAAAGAAAGAAGATTATACCTTGTTGACAATGTATTAGCAACCACATTTTCTTTACTTTTTTTGTATTTGATGATATATGGAAATGTCTTAATAAATTCTAGCCACCTTGCATGTCTTTTGTTCAGCTTACCTTGACCTTTAATGTGCTTCGAAGACTGATGATTAGTGTGAATGACAAATTGTTTAGGCCAAAGGAAATGTCGCCAATTCACGAATGGTCTTTTGAGTGCATAAAGCTCCTTGTCATAAGTTGGATACTTCAAGGCTGCTCTATTTAGCTTTTCGCTAAAATATGCAATTGGCTTTTCTTTCTGTATCAAAACAGCTCCTATTCCGACTCCAAATGCATAACATTCAATCTTAAGAGTTTTGTTAAAGTCAAGCATTGCTAACACAAGTGTAGTACACAATTTACCTTTAAGTTTATTGAATGCATCATCTTGTGCTTTACCCCATTTAAAACATATAGTGCAGCAAGTGTGCTAAAATCTTTCACAAATCGCTTATAAAAACTAGCCAAATCATGAAAACTTCTCACCTTAATTATGCTCTTAAGTGTTGGCTAATCTTTTATAGCTCTTATCTTTTCTTCATCAACTTCTATGCCTTTAGCACTTACCACAAAACCAAGAAAAGTAATTTTATCTATGCAAAAGTCACACTTTTTTAGATATACAAACAATTTTTTCTTTCTCAAAACATCAAGCACACAATGCAAATGTTCCAAATGCTCATCTAGATTCCTCGTAACAGCCTTCGTAATTAATGGTAAATAAACATTTTCAAAATGATAATTAATTCTTTAAAGATCAATAAATAAAAAGGATTTAACCAAAAATATTTAGGTAATAACTATGGTAGGAAGAATAAATCATATAATTAAGAACTACCATAGTTATATAAAAGACCTTGCTAATCATTGTGAAAAGCTAACCATGATAAAAAGAACAAAACTAATTAAAAAAAAAAGTACATCATGGTAATTAACAAGTCGCATCTATAGCAAAGATCATAATAGCCAAAATGATTAATATAACAAGAAATAACCAACACTTGATTTTTCACATACGTATCAAATCCATCAGCAATAATCTGGAATCCCAATTACAATTAAGACCAATTGTAAATGGGTTGGGGCATTTGAAACTCGTCAAAATAATAGTCACCACCGCCCATAACAAATGCAACAAAAATAAAAGTCATATATACATCTAAAAGGGCTCCACCCAACAGCATAGATCCAGAATGTAGCGAAAAAATTAAAATAATGTTAGGTATAACAAAAAAGCCCTAAAGTTTGGCAATATACATCAATATGGCGTGTATAACAAAATAGATGCTATACAAAGTGGAAAGGGCAGCTCAAACCTTAGACAATTTTCCCTTGGGACTAATACCTGAACCCTCGCCTGAAAAATATTAAATAACCACGGGGTGAGCCAAATTGACCTGGTAACCACAATTCCAATTCAAGAAGTATATAGGCAGTAATTACAAGATAGTTAAACAGGTAAAGTACAATTTCAAATAACATATAGGATAAACATCTTTACAGAAAATAATATATAATAATTCAAAAAGTAACTTGCATGCACAGAACTTCATCAACCATCCTTATAACCTCCTTGTAATATCTGACAGAAGCTATGGGCTATTCACACATAACAGGATTCATCTCGTTTACAAAACTGCACCAAGCTCTCCAATCATGAGGTGTAACTCGGCCAAAAGTTACAGAGCTCATATAGGACCATGGGTTCCCTTTCCTTGAAATATGGAAAGGTGTTATGTCCCTTAGGCTGACCCTTGACCCGACCAAAGGAAGGGTGATACCGAGGGTCCTAAGAATGTTAAAGCCAACCACCGGACGCCAAGTGATAGCTATATCATGTGGTATAAAATAATCAAACCTCCCACAATTACACTTTAGCACAACCTAATACAGCTCCATAAGCATTCCAACCATCCAATTTCACACAATCCAATTTCATAAAGTATTCTCATATTCAATAATTAAATTTTATTCTCATATTCATGCCCACTTAACTAATAAATTTATCAAAACATAAATTTTCATATATATATTTTCACTCTTTATACATCAATCACCATAACATATAATGATAACATTTATAATATTAACACATGCTTATAATCACGTCAATAAGCATACAAGGTAAATTAGAAAGTGGTTACCTCAAGTTCTTGACACAAGAACTAAAATGGGAGGATTCAATACCCAAGAGCCCAAACCAAGTCACTCTACAACAATAAATTTATAAACATATATTAATAAAAAAAACTAAGTAATATAACATTAAAAATAATTTATTAATTAAATCCCCATAATTGGCCTACTTTAAAAATTATCTTTAGGAAAAATAATAATTCATCTATTCCTCCAAGTAACAATTTCTACTACTTCCCAACTCTATTCTCTCATTCACATTATTAATAAGAATAATTCCTTCAAATCATCCAAAAATCTCTAGAAAGTGCTTACTTTAACTCTTAAAAAAATAACCATATATCAACTATGCCTCCAATCATTATTACAATCCTATTTCCTTCTTCCATTAATCACCTCCCCCTCACTAGTATCATTAAATTTTAACATTTTCCCCAATTTATTCCAAACACCCTACTTCCACTAACTAAAGTCTCTCCAAAAATCATCAACATTTTTATTTCAACAAAAATCTTCAAAATTCAAGCATTGAATCCTCAATATAACCTCCAATGAACTAAACTAAGAGATCAATTTTGAGATTAATATCATCATTAACACAAATCACAATTTTTCAACAAAACCCTAACTTACATTGCCTCAAATCAACCATCAAAACAAAAAATCCAAGTCATAAAGACTCTTATTCTAACCCCATAAGCTCCATTAACATCCTAATAATAAGTTAGAAACCTCAAAGATTAAAAATCTATCAAGCCTTAAAAAAATTTATTCTTCTGTCATAAATTTAGAAAAATAAATAGAAAAAGTTAAATAGAGAAAGTAGGAAGAAAATATCTTACATAGATGGCTTAGATAAGACCAAGTAAGACCCCTTTCTCTCTCTCACTCTCCACCTCCCTCTCACGGTCACTCTCTCTCAAGTGGACTAGAGGAAAAATGCGAAGACAAAGCACAAGAGGAGGGGGAAAGCTGGACGGAGGGAAAGGGAATTAATAGTGGGTCACGTGACTTACTATTTCATTCCAAACTTTTCAATTTTTTTTAAAGGGAAGGGGGCACGAGATCAACCCCTCCCTTTCCCTCACAACCGGACAGTGGGTGGCCACATGCCTCCTACTGTTATAATATATTATAATACTCCTCCGGTCCTAAATGTAAGACCCTTATGCAAACTAGTATAAGGGTCTTACATTTAGGACCGGAGGAGTATATATTTAATAAAATAAAATATTATATGTATCTCTTCTTCTTCTTTTTTTCAAAATGGAATGTTACAACTCTCTCCTCCTAAATAGGAATTTTGTTCCCAAAATTCAATTTAGTAGGAATTCTACGTACCTAATTAAAAAGATGAGGATAAGATTATCACATCTTCTCTTCTGTTTCCTGTGTAGCATCACCAGGAGCCATACCCTTCCAGATGACTTTCACAAGTCGAATTGTCTTATTTCTTAGTTGTTTATGCTTCACGTCGGCAATTCACTCTGTTTTTGTCCGATAAGTCAAATTCTCACGGAGTTCAACTTCTTCGGGCTCAATGATGTATGAGAGACCAGGTTGGTACTTCTTATTGTGACACAAGAAACATATTATGAACCCTATCTAACTATGGTGGCAATGCAATCTGGTATGCTACTTCACCAACTCTTGCAAGAATCTCATACGGACCCATGAATCTTGGGCTTAATTTCTTGGCCTTAATAGACCTTCCAATGCTTGTCATTGGGGTGATACATAGAAATACATGATCACCAAGGCAAAAATCCAAGGGTCTCCGTCGTTTATCCCATAGCTCTTATGTCTACTTTGAGTTGCCAACAACTTCTTTTTAATCATTTCAATCTTTTCTATAGTACGGTTAACATAATCAGGGCCGATGATAGTTCTTTCACTCAATCTTGTCCAACAAAACAACGATTTGTACTTTTTGCCGTATAATGCCTCGTAAGGCGCCATCTATATGCTTGAGTGATAGCTGTTATTATAGGCAAACTTAGCCAATGGCAAGTGACTATCCCAGCTACCTTTCAATTCAATGGCACAAGCCCTCAACATATCTTCTAAGGTTTGGATTTTTCTCTCTGTTTGTCCATCGGTCTGTGGATGATAAGCTGTACTATATTTCAACCTAGAACCCATAGCTTGGTATAAGGCTCTCCAGAAACCTGACATGAACCTTGGATCCCTATCAGAGATAATGCTCTCTAGCACACCATGCAATTTGATAATCTCCTTCACATATAATTGAGCATATTTTTCTATTGTATAAGTAGCTCGTATAGGCAAGAAATGAGCAGACTTGGTCAAGTGATCAATAATCACCCAAATTGCATCATGATTACTAGGTGTCCTCAGTAGCCCCATTACAAAATCCATAGATATACTACCCCATTTCCATTTTGGTATCTCTAAAATTTGAATTAACTCTGGTGGCTTTTGATGCTTAATTTTGACCTTTTGACAAGTCAAACAACATGAGACAAATTCTGTTATGTCTTTCTTCATTCCAGGCCACCAATAATTTTGCTTTAGATCATTGTATATCTTGGTGATTCCTGGATGTATAGTGTACTTGCTTCAATGAGATTCCTCTAAGATGTATTGTTTGGATTTTCCATCATTAGAGATACAAACTCTCTCTTTGAATCTCAAAATTCCATCTTCACCAACTTCAAAATCACTTACTTCTCCTTCCTCTAACTGAGCTATCTTGAGCTCCTTCCAGAATTCATTCTCAATTCACATAGCACGGAAGATTGTATCCATATCAGCTAGCACATTAGTATTCTTCAACCTTTCTAACAAATAGTTCTCATAGAGACTCAGTTGAAATACATGAACAGCTTTTCTACTCCAAGCGTCAGCAACAACATTCGCTTTACCAGGATGATACTTAAGTTGGAAGTCATAATCTTTCAGGAACTCCATCCATCTTTTTTGTCAATTATTGAGCTCCTTTTGATCTACAAGATACTTCAAACTCTTATGGTCACTAAAAACATCAAATTGTGAACCATATAAGTAGTGTATCCATATCTTCAATGCAAATACCACTTCTGCTAGCTCTAAGTCATGAGTTAGGTAATTCTCCTTGTGTGGTCTCAACTGTTTAGAAGCATAAGCAACAACATTTCCTTCTTACATTAATACACACCCTAAACCCTTTAAAGAAGCATCAGTGTGTAAGGTGTATGG